AGGGCTGGAAGCCATGTTGGACTTTAAATGGGATTCACGGTCAAGGTTTCGTTGGCATTGGATGCTGAGCAGCACCCCAGAGCATGGCTTCCGGCGACATGCACATGCTCATGACCTGTACGGTCATACTTCAATTTACACTGGTGTAAAGAGCGCCTGCTCCGTTAGGGCAGAACCCCCATTATGTAAACAGGGCCCATCAGAGGCCTTCCAGCCCTTGCCAGCGACCCTCACAGACTTCTCCGTGGCTCCGGCCACCGGTCCTTCACCCAGCCAATGGCGACCCTTCCCAAGATGGCGGCAAAGGACCCTCCGGAGAGAGGCGCCACTGTTTCTGAGGTAACGGCTCACATTTCCTGGGGGGCCTCGACCACCCCACTGATTTACCTCTGTGGGGGTGAGAGGATGCTGCGCCTGACCCCCCACCTCCCCAAACAGACCCGTCCGGCACACACCCTTAATAAAGCTTTTCTATTTGGTTTATCATTAAAGTATATGAGGTATATGGCGGGCTATCTCCAAAGAGCTTTGTGGTGGATGTCTTGGCACTGTGAGGGGGAGGGAGAGGGTCTAGCCTGGCCCCCCCTCCCTCGTGCCCTCCCAACCCCGGGTCAGGCACCGGCACGGAGGCGTGTGAGCAAATATTTGGTTTTACAGCTGTAGTTTAAAGCTTGTTTCCTTCCTCATTCTAAAATGCCCAGGAGTGGGGGAGGTCAGCGGAAAAGAGACTGTTTTTCAAAGGGGTGGCCCTAGCGTCTCCCATCCCATTTCTGTCCCAGGGTTGCCAATTCTAACATCTGGAGATTTAGGAGCGGAGCTTGGGAAGTGCAAAGTTTCGGGAGGGGAGGGAATTCGGCAGGGCTGTGACTCCATAAAGTCCCCCTTCAAATTTACTAGGTTGTCAGCCACAGCCCGCAGCCCCCTGGGGAGGTATTAAGGGGCAGGGACAGGTGCACTGATGTCACACTAGCACGCAACATCACTCCCTTACAGAAATTTCTTTAACCATAGAGTTTTGAGCAAATCCTAGAGTGTCACCCTTACGTAATGACGTCACTTCCAGCTTTTCGTTGGAAGTGATGTCATGTGTTGGTGCAGCGTCTGCATGCCCCCATCCCGCCCGCCCCCCCAGCCTTGGACATGCTGGTAGGGAACAGGAGTAACTTGCGAAAGCTCTCCTTTTATAACGGGAGACCTGACACCCCCACTCCCAAACCTGCCATTTTCTCAAAGGGAGAACTCCAGGCCTTGCTTGGATGCTGGCCAACCCTACGTGACCATCCACACGCAGAACAATGTGGAATGGGGAGGGCAGGTCCACAATGAACATGGTATTGTTCTGCTACAGGGAAACCGCAGCCAAACAAAAACTGAATCCCTGGTCGTTTTTCTTCCGGGCTGACCCACGCTCACAGTTCCCTCCTTCACCAAGCTAGGAAAAGCTCTGCCATCTAATCCTTGGGCAACACCTATGAAAGACAGTCACCGCTTTGGGAGGGGGAACGGAGCGGGGGCTGCTAGAGTCGGCCACTGCCCACCCTGATAACTGCCCACATCTCTGCCCCTAAAACCGGAAACAGGCAACTGTTTTTTCCCCAAAAAGCCGAAACTGGTTTTAGAGAGGCTCCGTTTCCCAAGATGTACCGACATCTCTTTCTTTTTTTTTTCCTGCTGCCACCTCTGGTTAAACAGGTATGGCAAGTTTTGGAAACAATACAAAAACCTAATGAACCCGGTTAACCAGTGGCCCTTCTTTCACACCTCTTTCAGCTTCCAGGAGGGGGAAAAAAGAATGTATGCCCCTCCCTTCCTACTCCCCACCTTCCTTTGCTTGCCCTATAAATCTTCACTGTTCCCCTCCAAGCCGTACACCTACCACTCAGCTCCGTCCATGGAGATAGGGTCATTTTTGGTCTAGAATCAATTTTTTTTAAAAAAACACGTTTTGGTTTTTCTTTCTTTTTTTGTTGATTTTTTGTTTAGCTTTTTTTTTAAAACCTTTTTAACTTTTTTGTGGCAAACCTTCAGCGTTTGGTTTTTTTGTCTTTTTTTATACAGTAAGAAGCGATAAAGCGGAACATAGATTTTTCTCTATAAAAAAAAATAGAAGTTACCCCCCAAAAGAAGTGTTTTTTTAAAAAAAGAAAGAATAACAAATATCACTAAAACAGTTACATTCCACCTAGAAACACGTTCAGTAGCACATGAGAGAGAGAGACAGACAGACAGAGAGAAAGAGAAAGAGAGAAAAAGAGTTTTGACTTCCCAATTTTTTTTTTTACTGATGTCCACCATAATAAAAGCATGATTGGAATCTTAAAAGAGACGGATAAATACTTGCCGGTTCTCTCTCCCTCACGCACATAATGGGGTGAAAAACATTTTCTTTTCAGTCTTTTAAAACTAGGTGTTTCCTGGTTTGTGTGTGTGTGTGTGTGTTTTGTTTGTTTGCTTCATTTTTTGAAAGTTTCACAGTATTTTTCTTTTTGTTATCTCAAACCCACCTGAACGCTATAACACAGCAAAAGCAGGAGATAAAATGAGGTCGAGGTCGGTTTGTTTTTTTTCCTTTAAGAAAAATTTCAAAGTCCTTTTGCTTGCTTGTTTGTCTTTTTCACTGTGTCCTTTAGTTTGGTTTGGTTTTTCTACCAGATCGTAGTATGCCATGGCTAACTTCCTTCTCTGCAACAAGACTTTGGTTCGCAGGAGTTGAAAAAGAAAAGACAAAAGTTGGGGGGGAAACACCCCAAATAATAACTAAAAAAAACCCTCTAAAACACTTTTAAAAAAATCCCAAACCAACACAGTAAAATAATAACAACAATAATAAAGAGACCAACCCCCAACAAATTTACCCAAAAAGGTTAGAAAAACAAAAAAAAGAAAATCAGCGTTTTGAGAAGCCATTTTTAAAGCTTTCCAGACCTCTAGGAGGGTATTGCAGGTTCCTCTGTTCTTACCCTCCCACTTCTGTTGATTTGGTTTATTTAATTTAATTTTTTTGTCTCTTTGCCATTTATAAAATCTTGGCTTCTCAACGCAACTTTCCATGAGGTATTTTTTTTTCAGGACAGAGAAAGATGGTTGAGCCATTTTGCCTCACCAGAGAAAAGTAAAGATTTCCCCTTCAATTCCCATGTTTTCATCCTTTCTTCTTCGATGAAAGTTTTGAACGTGTGTGTATTAAGTTTTCTTTGTTTGCTTTGTTCATTCTTTTTGGTTAAAAGTTTGTGTATTTTTCTCGCCTCCGAGTCTCTGATATCCACACAAGAAGAGGGGGGGATTCGGATCCCTTGTTTGCAATTTCTTTCCCCCCTGAAACTCCCCAACGGTCTTCGTTTTGTTGTTTTCTGTAGTGGTGTCTATCGATTTTTGGTTTTTTTCTGTAAAATGTAAAGAATGCTGAAATTTCCCGTTTATTTTGTTTTGGTTTTTGTCAGGCACTGGATTATGAGTATTTTTTTTTTCAGAACACAGATATAAAAATAATAATAAAAATTACATATCCCCTGTTTTCAGAAAAATAACCCCTGATACTAGCCCCAGGTGGAAATTAATTTGAAGGGGAGGGGGGAAGCTATCGGTAGAAAAAAATTAAATCAGCAAAGAAAACGTTCAAACTGATAGGACAAAACATATACATGTTCAACACGGCTCATCCTGAAAGAGCCAAAGACTTTCAAAAGGGCCTCATGTCCTGCAAAGATGTATTTATACTTTGTACCCCATGAATACTCTAGCTGACACCAGGAAGGTTACTCCTAATGGCTGTGATTCGTTTGTTCCCTATTGGAATGGGGGTGGGGAGGGCAGAGGTGGGGCAGTCTATTGCTCTCTGTCTGTGCTTGTTGCATTCGATACTCTGGGCTTATAAAGTGACCCTTTGTAGGTCGCCTATGATGAGCTAAAATCGCTTCCAGGAAACCAGGCAGGGAAATTTTGTAAACTGGAAGAAAACTGTTTTAACCTTTCAGACTGTTTTCTTTTTTCTTTCTTTTACCTTTTACAAGCAGTTGTGGGTTGGCAAGGGAGCTACTTCAAAAATTGCAGCCTAGTAACTCATGGAGTTCACTGCAAGGCCAAGATCTGAACCTACACCCCGACAGGAGAAAGAGAGATCATTGCAGGACATAAGTTTGGAAACCAGCTTCCATCGTGGGAACATGGTGCCCAGTTCGTATTACGGCCTTTGAAAATCCTAGACTCTGTAATTCAACGAAAATTCCCCAAAGAAAATTATTAAAAATGCTATTTGTTTAAAAACATCTCTCTTTTTAAAGTTAAAAAAGGGGGGGGAGTTTTAAAGCAAGGTCTTAAAACTAAACCCCCACCCACCCATCCAACCCATTCTGGATGCCAAATAAAAGAAAAATAAATAAGAATAAATAAACGCGTTTTGAAAGACATTCGACCAGACACAGAAGTTAGAAAAGTCTGTAAAAAGCTTTGGGTGAAGCTAGGACTGGTGATTTTTGGTGTGAGATTCTATTTCCCTTTAAGGATTTTAAAGGGATTTTTCATTCTCTTTTTTTCTTTTTTCCTTTTCTTTTTTAAAAAAAACAAAACAATCCCCCCATTTGTTTCCTTCCTGAAACTGTCCAGGAAACTAGCAGATGGGGCGGTGGGGGGGCTGGAGATATCATGGAAAAAAATATTAAACGAAACGACTGATAAAGCCACCTTTTGTTAGGTGTTTTGTTCTTAACATCAGAGGGGGGGGGAGAAAAAACAAACAAATGCCAAAAGTTCAAGGGGATTCTTTTTGGTTTCTTCCTTTGTTCCTTTTTGCTTTGCTTGTTTGGTTGCTTTGGGTTATTGTTATTTTTTGGTCGTTTTTTTTTGTTTGGCTGCTGCTGACAATTCTTCGTTTGGTTTAGTTTCTTTCTTTCTTTCGTTCTTTCTTTCTTTTTCTTTTTTTTGGTTTCACTCGTCGGTTTGTACGTCCGCTCCTTTGGCCTGCCACCGCATTGGGAAAGGCAGAGGGGAACACTCCTCGGCCCTCATTCCGTCTTGGCGTCCGGCTCGGTGGATCCGGGACCAGCCTGCCCCAGAGTCTGCGCCAGGTCGCTGGAGGAGCTGCATGAAGAGCAGGAGGAGGAGGAGGAGGAGGAAGAGGAGGAGGAGGTCAAGGTGGGGGACTTGCTGGGCATGGAGGCGGCCACGGCGGCGGCGGCCGCCGACACCAGCCCCACTCCTCCCGGGGCAGCACTCAGCAAGGGTAGGCCTGCGTGGTTGAGGAACAGCTGAGAGGTCACGATGCTCTGGCTTCCGGTCGTGCCCGCTGTGGTACCCAGGACCAAGTTACCACTGGCATCAAGGCTGGTAATTGGCAGGCTTCCACCACTGGCCAATGCTAGGCGGAGAAAGAAAAACACAAGTTAGAGCATGTCAGCACCGGCTTTTTCCAACCGGCTTACGTCTTGAGAGATTTCTGACCTGGAGGAATTATGTGTTCCTGTGGCCACTCTCTAGAGCAAGGCTGTGGGCTCCCGACACCTTTCCCGGTGCCTGCCCAGTGAATTTAGGAAATGGGCAGGGCCAGGTGAGGCTTTTGCCCAGGAGGGCTTCTGATTGGCCACTGGAAATTTGATTGGCAGTGCGATGTTGCTTCGGGAGCAGGATCTCCACCGTGTGACTGAAGGTAAGCTGTGGCAAACGTTTTGTGGCTGGCTCTGCCTCCTGCGGCAGCCCTTTTGTGGCTACTCCCGCCACTGTACATCCAAATTCCAAAGGTGTTCACACACTCAAAAGGTTGGGGACCCCTGCTCTATAGGGGGCCAACGCACGCCTGTTCTGTAACGATCAAGCCCCCTGCTGGTCATACAACTGACTGGAGCTGGAACAGTGTTTTTTGTAGAAAAAGCCCAGCAGGAACTCATTAGCATAATAGGCCACACCCAACAATAGGAACTTATTAGCATATTGGGCCACACCCCTGACAGCACAGCTCATTAGCACATTAGACCGCACCCCCATGTTACCAGAAGTGTGGTTATCCAGCCACACCCACCTTTTGCTTCTTATTCTGTTTACCTTGTTTGCTGTCAAAACCCAGGGCTTTTTTTTGGTAGCAGGAACTCCTTTGCATGTTAGGCCACACACCCCTAATGTAGCCAATCCTAATGAGTTTCTGCTCTTGGGTGTGGCCTATTATGCTAATGCGTTCCTGCTGGGTGTGGCCAACTCAGGAGCCAGCCGGAACTCCGTTCCTGTGTCTTCCTGCCCAAAAATAGCCCTGGGAGCCTCCATTACAGATCATTCCAATCCTGGGGGGGGGGAGTGGGTCAAAAAAGGCAGTACAGGGTGCAGGCAAAACCATCATCGAAACGATACCCTCACGTACACCTCCAGTCCCCAGTGCAGTTCACATGAAACGGACACACGGTATGGGGCATGTTTTGAAAGGATGAACAAGTAACGATTAGCAGGTGGGATATGGGGGGAAATGCATGTTATGGTATGGAGCATGTTGCTTTCTACTCTAAGATGACTGGGATGGAGAAGAAATCTCAGGAGGAATGAAAGTAGGTTCTGGAGGACTCGCCCTGGCTCGCAGGACCCTCACGCATCTGACCCACATCTGCACAACAGCTCACAGGCACGGTCGCCCCCAGATTCATCCATTCAGCCCTTGAAAACCTTTGGGGAAGTTGGGACTGGTGGAGTCCCACATCGTCTTTTAGGCTCGGGCTGCCTAACCTTGAAGCAGCCTGCCCGCCCTGTGTCGTTTCTGACCATTCTTGACTATCCCACATTTGCATTCTCAAACAAGCATTAAAAGAAGGACTTTCCACGAGCCCACCAAATGTGGCCAATGGGCGATATTCTGCTCGGCACGTCACTCGTCACGGAGCGTAAAAGACAGTCATGATAAGAAAAGGGGTAGGTGAGATCTTCTCTGTAGGAGTTACTTCTCTGGTCTCTCCTCCTCTCGGCGGGTCACTGGTCTGCATCCGTGCATAGCTGGAGGTTGTGCGATCGTGGCACTGCGGCAACCATTCGCCACTGGATTGTCTCGTTCACATGGGGTGAGTGACTGCTAGAACGCCAAGATAGCACAATCTCCATCTACATATGGATGCAGCACAGTTTTTCGGCATCACATCTGGTGATGAGAAGAGATATCATGGCAATGCCTGTGATTTACGGAAGTTGCAAGGCACGCTGGGGAAAGCGGTATGCCTGTGTACGGTTGACACAGACCAGAGACACTGGGGAAAGCAAGGCACGCTGGGGAAAGCATACGCCTGTGTACGGTTGACACAGACCAGAGAGTCAGCGTGGTGTAGTCATTAGAGCATCCAAATGGAATCTGGGTGACCCGGGTTCGAAGTCCCAGTCTACCACAGTAGCTCGCTAGAAGATTCTTGGCCTAACCTACCTCACAGGGTTGTTGTGAGGATAAAATAGAGGGGAAGAAAACCATGTGAGGCACTTTGGGTCCCCACTGGGGAGAGGGGCAGGGTGTAAATGATGTAGAATAAATACTATACCACACCCATGCTGGAAGGCTATAAGATTCACGTCTGCCTGGGAGCATAACTATCCCTGACTAGACCGCCTGTCCCCAGGCCTGGATGTGACAAGAGATTGCACCTCAAGGTCACAGGGCTGTGTCTTGTGCGTATACCGGAATACGGTAAGAATCCAGGAATAAAGCACATATTGTGAATCTGAGCACAAATTTCCCGAGAAGACCCATGTTCCTAGACGAAAGCAACAACCCTGTTTTTCATTTAAACAAAAAAGCCCAAGCCCCTAATCCTTCTGGTTGCAATAAAGCTATTCTTGGAAGTATGGGGACAATGGCTGAAAAAACATCAGAAGCCGCCGCGGAGACTGCTGAATATGATTTCAAGGGGTTGCAGTTGGGCCCCGGTGCTAGGCTACTTGGAGGATGGTTGGATGCACCCCGCTGCCTTAAGAGAGGCACAAAAGGGAATGTCTCTTCTCTGGTGACATCTGCTGTGGCACACGCCTGCAGTGTCTAAAAAAATAAGGTATTTCCCCCCATCGGAAGTATTCTTTGACCTGTGTGCATAGCTAACACATCGATCAAAGCCCTTCAATGAATGGAGCCAGACTTTTTTAAATCGTGAGATAGCGCCAATCGTTCGCGGTGGTTCACGTCCCCACCACCCTTTCCCGGCCAAACTCAAGACTGCTCGTAGAACTCCCTGCAAACGTGCGTTGGTTCCTCCAGAAGTCATCCCCTGCTGCAGGCATACGTATGATTCCCCAAGAGAGCACATGCATTCCCTCGCCGACACACACGCCCCCCCCCCAATGCACTTCCTCTTTCACACGCAAGCAGGCCAATGGGGGTGAATGGCGGGAATGGTATCATGTCTGGTCTTTTGGTGTGGTTTTCTTTTTCACCAACCTTGAATGGTGGCCAGCGGGTTGGTGGCCATTAGCGCTGGGTTTAACCCGGCGTTCACCCCTAGCACTGTGCTTCTGAAATCAAACCAGACGTGGCAGGTTAACGTGGGGGTCTGCGGGGCAGAACGTGCGAGAGACCCCGCCTCCCCCCACCCCCGGCAGCCCAGCGAGGAAATCTCCTCTCTCATAGGTCCAGGATGGTCGCGAGAGGACTAGGCTTAAAGCACCCTGAAGGGCATCAATTCTACATGGATTCCACTGTCTCCTCGAGGTTCTAGTCCCCTGTTTGCGCACAGGTTTGCCAACCCCTCCGTGGGGCATGGAGATCTCCCGGAATTACAACGGACCTCCAGACAACAGAGATCAATTCCCTGGGAGAAACTGGCTGTCCTGGAGAAGTTCTCTCCAAACCCTGCCCTCCCCCAGGCTCCACCCTTAAACCTCCAGGTATCTCCCAATCCAGAGTCGGCAACCCTGGTTTGGGGGATATTCAATTCAATTCAAATACCTTTTATTGGCATACAATATTAGAAGCATTTACCAATAATACAATCCAAAAGAAATTATAAAATAGATAGTCGTGGCTATGTCAGGCCTAACTCAAGTTGTCACAAGCTAGATTTGACCATACAAAAGATGCCTGAATCATAAAATAAACTGGCATTCTAGACTTTTAAACTTAAGTTTTTAGACTTATAAATTAAGAATCATTAATATGGTCAGGGTCACTCTTCCGTTTTATAAAACCATGGAGAAACTTAGCGGTCAGTTCAATGATCTCCGGGTCTCGTGAAGCAAGGAGAAATTGTACCTTGATTCTATCCGATTGGCCTGCTACCAACCTAAGGGGGGCTTCTATAAATTCCACTCAAATGTCATTTAACAATTTACCGTGTAAGAGTACGTGCTCAACAGTTTCTATTTCTCTTCTATTACATCCACAGAACCTGACTGAATAAGGAATTTGGGTTTGGGGGATATAATGTCCCTTATGTGAGGCGGTTGCCCAAAGTCCCCCCCCTCGTTACAGTGTGGGACCAGCCAAGACCAGACGCCCCCCTTCCCCTACCGTTCAAACCACTGCCGAGCCCTCGAAGGTTTCCCCCCTCCCCTGCCACTTACCCCGTACTGGGATTCAGGCCTTGCAAGCCGATAGCCGAGTGACTGCTGCTCTGGGGGCTAGGATTTGTGCTGTTGCTTGGGGGAGGCGTGACTGAGTTGAGGGCGGTGCCCCCTGCTCCCACCGCTGTCCGACTGGGGGTCAGGGAGCAGACTGTTGGGGATAAGGTAGTAACTGCCCAAGAGAAGAGGACAGGAGGTTAAGGAGACAGGCTCGGGACTCCCTACTAAAAGAAGGGCAGGCCCTGGGAGCCGAAAACCGAGAGGAGCATACCCTTCCAAAGGGGAAAAAAATATAAGCAGGAAACCCAGCAGATATATAAACTAGGGCATTACAAGGCCGACGGGGCCATCCCTAAGCAAAGCTGCACCTTTCCGAATCCGTTGACGTTAATGTCGGTGTCCATGATGATGTAAAAAACCCCGTTCTGAGTATCCAAATAGCATAAAGTCTAAGAGCTACGAATTGTTAAAATACAGCAGAAAAATATCTGCACTGTAACAAAATAGTCCACAACCTGCAGTATTTATGGCTAGCTCAATTCTAGTCCAGATGTACCTTGGAGACCAACAAGATTTTGGGGGTATGAGTTTTCGAGAGTCAAAGTTCCCCTTGACAGAATGCAGAGGTTCCCTTGAGTCACCATGACTAGTAGCCACTGACAGGCCCAGGCCCATCGCTACAGTGGGGCTTTGGGGGGCTCTGCCCCCTTCTTTAAAGGCACAGCCCCCCTGTAAATGCTTTTTTCGGTCATAAAGGCATGTGGTCCTTTAAGCAGCGTGGGGTGCTGTAGTTGACTAATTCCTGCACTGAGCAAGGGGGTTGGAGTAGGTGACCTCTACGATCCCTTCTAACTCCGTGTCAAGAAACTGGTCTCCTTTAAAAGACTTTTTCTGTCTAAGTGTGAGCTGTCTTGACTACAGAAGTCATCACCCACACCTGCCAACTTGTTCTCAAAACTGTTGCTTAGGCTGGCAGAAGTGACTAACTTGCAGCAGCTGAGAACTGTCTCTTAAAGTGGTTGATAGCTTGCAATTTAGAGATCTATCCTGGTAACAGCTTTCCATTGGCTCAATGGCTTTTCTTTCTGCCCCGAGAACTCCAGCCCCACCAGAAAATCATTTGCCCCAGAAGCCACAAAATCCTGGCTACGGGCCTGGACAGGCCGCTCCTCCATGAATCCGCCTAATCCCCCGTTACAGCTGTCTATGTCTGCAGCGATCACTACGTCTTCTGGCAGCGCATCCCACATTTTAATCACTCGTGTAAAGAATTATTTCCTTCCGCACCCCACTATGCCAGCAAACTAGGATTCCTTTGGTGCTAACCACTTTGAGGGAAGTTCTGCAGCTACATAACAGACCTTAAGTATTCGGCCAATGGATACAGTGCAACCAATTTCCCAGGAAAGGTACACGGTAGCTCTTAAGGATGGGGCTTTTGACCCCTGCGGTTTGGGTCTCCCACTGGCCTACAAAGCTCATAGGGAACCGCTGCAGCTGACATGGCTGGCTTCTTACACTCAACAGGGATAGTCATCCATCCACCTTAAGGGAGAAGGCTTATCTGCTTCCTCCCCTCTTCTCTGAATGCTTTCCAGATGTTTCATCCACCACACAGCTGGAGGCCGCGCAAAACCAAACAGCCCAATCGGTACAGTTCTAACATATAGCCCAGAGCTCCCAGCATCCCATTGGCCAGTTGTACTAGGAGGGTCTTGGAGAGAGGGGTGTGTGCAACCGGAAGACGGCTACCTGTTGTGCTCAGACTACTGGAAGCCTGGGAGAGGGGCAGACTTGTGCCGGTGCCTGGGCTGGTCACCTGGGGAGATGCAAGAGAGAAACATACTATCAAAGACACAAGGAAGAGACTTCCACGGGGCAAGGCTGCCGAGAGCCGCCATGGGCCCCCGGACGAAGATTCTATCTGAGCCCCCGCCCCGCTCTACCCCCACACTAC